ACAATTCAATTCAACTCTTTACATTTGTAAAAACAAATGCATAATGCAAACTCTCTTCCCTTGCATTAAATATAAACATCGCTCTGAACGCTCCCTGACTGGAGTTTATTGTGGTTCATTGAAGGCCCCGCCCCTGGTGTGGGAGGCAGCCAATCACAGTTCAGAGTTTTTGGGATGGCCAATCAAATATGTGCATCCACACGACAATGTGTTTAATGTGAGCTGGCAATACTCAAGTCTTCTACCTTTGACTTTTTTTTTGTCTGATTGTTTTGTGATTCTGCTTGTAGATGTTTGGTTCGGTTCATGGCTTATAGCTCTTTAATGTCGACTTTTTAAAAATCCCTATGAGAAAACTGAACGGAAAAATGCGAAATGAGTCATTTTTGTCTGAAGATGTCACATGGGTTATTTTTTCTACATGAGCGGTGTGCTCTCTGACCGTCGTCGTCCTCCAGACTCCACTTCTTCCCCTGCTTCATCTCCTCCAGCTCCTTCTTGAGTTCTCCGATGTTCTCCATGGCTTTCTTCCTCTGCTCCTCCCTCCACTTCTCCACTCGCTCCTTCCTCTTCCTCATCTCCTCCTCCAGAGTGTTCTGGTCAAAGTCCTGCTGCAGAACCAACCGTTGCACGCGGTTATCCACTTAATCAACATGAATCGGGTTAATATGCAGTGCGCTTCAGAAGACGACATCTAAAGAAAGATGATGTCTGAAAACACTCACATCTTCAGGCTTCTCCTCCTCCTTCTCCTTCTCCTCCTTCATCTTCTTCTTGTCAGCGCAGGGCTCTGTGTTCTCAGACTTCTCCTTGCTGTAAGATCAGCATCACGTTCAGCAGCAGATCACACGCTTCTCACTCCAAGCCCGTCATTGCCAAACACAGTATTTATAATACTTCTGACATAATGGCAAAGCTGCTTAGTAAAGCAATTTCAATTCTCTGTATGTATGTGCTGTACATGTGGAAGAATTGACAAAGCAGACTTGACTTGACTATTTACAGAAACTAGGAGTGGCAAAATATAAAAAGAATTCAATAATGATAATTCAAATAATTAAATACCACAATCCCAAAAATGTAATGTTCTCTATAATGCAGACTTTTTATTGGCAATGAATTCATATGATTCTCTAGGTTTCTTTTTTTTTTTTTTTACTCACAAGTAGCAATTTCTATATGATAAAATATTATAAAGCGTGACAAAACGTGTACACTACCAGTCAAAAGTTTTTGAACAGTAAGATTTTTTATGTTTTTTAAATTCTCTTCTGCTCACCAAGCATGCATTTATTTGATCCAAAATACAGCAAAAGCAGGAATATTGTGAAATATTTTTACTATTTTACTAAAACAGCTGTTTTCTGTGTGAATATGTGTTAAACTGTAATGTATTTCTGTGATGCGCAGCTGTATTTTCAGCATCATTACTCCAGTCTTCAGTGTCACATGATCTTCAGAAATCATTCTAATATGCTGTTCAAGAAACATTTCTGATTATTATTATAAATATTTAAAACAGTTAAGTACATTTTTTTCAGGATTCTTCTATTAATAGAAAGATCCAAAGATCAGCATTTATCTGAAATAAAAAGCTTTTGTAACATTATACACTCTACCATTCAAAAGCTGGGAGTCAGTATAATTTATTTATTTAGTTTTTAAATTGTAACATTTATAATGTTACAAAAGATTTCTATTTCAGATCAATGCTGTTCTTCTGAACTTTCTATTCATCAAAGAAACCTGAAAAAATTGTACTCAGCTGTTTTCAACATAATAATAATAATAATAATCATAATAATAATAATCAGAAATGTTTCTTGAGCAGCAAATCAGCATATTAGAATGATTTCTGAAGATCATGTGACACTGAAGACTGGAGTAATGATGCTGAAAATACAGCTGCGCATCACAGAAATACATTATCTGTTTTCTATGTGAATCTCTGTTAAACTGTATTGTAAATAGTAAAACTATTTCAAAATTTTACAGTTTTTGCTGTACTTTGGATCAAATAAAAGCAAGCTTGGTGAGCAGAAGAGAAGAGACTTCTTTTAAAACATTAAAAATCTTACGGTTCAAAAACTTTTGACTAGTGGTGTATATACACATACACATTTGGATTTAAATAAGCAAATACTGAAGAGTTTAGGATTGGATCATTATTGCAGTGATTAGCTTCTCAGCTTACAGCTTGTTTTTTATCTGTTTTGTCTTATTTTGAATGAAATAAGTTTTGAAGTGAATCTTGGAAGCTAGCTGAGGCCTCCTAAACTATAATAAACTGATGGTAGTGTTTGTCAGTAATGATCAGTGTGACAGCAGCGGTGTTTGAGCGTGTGTGTTTGCTGACCTCCTCCCTCGGCTCCTGCGTCTCCGCTCGCGGCTCCTGGAGCGCCTGTGAAGAGACGAGAGAGGTTAGGACTCAGCAGCGCAGCGGGGCAGACGCGTGCGGTGTGTGTGACCTCTGACCTCGGCCTCTTGCGGTCTCTGGAGCGTGACCTGCGGCGCTCTCGGCTGCGTGACCTCTCTCTCCGGCTGCGCTCGCGGGCGCGGGATCCCGTCTGCTCCTCCTTCTTCAAGCGCTTGGAGTCCGGCGAGCGGCTCTTAGACCTGGAGCCGGAGCGCTTCCTGTAATGCCTGCAAACACAACACACTCCACAAACTCAGTCTAGAGCTACGACACGAAGCTGCTCTCTTCATCCACAGCACAGCTGCACTGAGTCTCTTTACACTGGAGCTCATTTAACAGACAGTTCATATTATTCAGAAATATTACCGATTTCACATAGACAGAATCGACTTTGGTTCACATGAATTTTCCAACATTAGCATTGTTATGTTCTTGCTTATCTCTGTGAAGCTGCTTTGAAACCATCTGTACTGCAAAAAGCACTTTGGGAATAAATGTGACCGTGTACAATATTAGTGTGTTTCCCTTTAACTAACAGACGATCACACACACACACACACACAGAGAGAGAGAGAGACAGACACACACACACACGTGAAAATGTTATCAATAAAAGCAGTTAACATTAGATAGCTAGTTAGTTGGTTGGTCGAGTAAGTTAGAAGCTCAATCTGACTCAAACACAGTCTTTACGTCGCTGTTTAAGACCGCAGAGGTTTTAATAACACCTTCATAATACATGTTTGCAATTTTTAATAAAACCCTTATTAAAACGTTTAAAAATGAAGCTGAATAAACATGGAAATATTTACCGCGACTCTCGACCCATGGTTTCGTCGCAGACGCTCTCACATCCGGCGGCACGATGACAACTTCCGCTGCATCATTTTATTAAAGGGTCAGTTCACCCAAAACTGAACACGCAGTTATTCACTCGTCCTCGTGTCTTTCCAACATTAGCGGCTTTCTTTCGTGTGTGAAAGACTTTAGGCAGAATTACTGTTTCAGGTGCACCCCCGAAAAGTATTGTTGCGATATTACAGAAACGTCACCAGAAATATTCAAACACTGCAAAATTCACTAACACCTATTTTTCTGCTGAAATACTATAATAAAATCAAATAAATTTGGGATCCCCTTCAAGCATTTTCTGTCATTGTATTGTTGTTATTTCTTTATGAGATGATAGTTTTATTAAAACCCCATTCCTGTAACAATTAGAATTTTAATCATTCCAGCATATGAATTTTTGATATCAACAATTTAGTTGAAATAACAATTGTTGGTATCATTAATTCAGTGGTGTATAAAGAACCTGAAAGCCACACTCAAGTAAAAGTACAGATACCTTACCAGAAAATGACTTTGGTAGAAGCTGAAGTCACCCTTTAGAATATTACTGGAGTAAAAGTATTTTTTTAGTCTTAAACGTACTTAAGTATTGAAAGTTGTCTTTCATTCCAACATAAGAAATCATTTCTGGAATCTGCATCTGAAATGGCATTAAGCCTACAGTTTAATGTATCTCAGAGGGGGCATGGATGCATTTAACCTGCAGTTACAGATGCATAAATAGGCCTAATGTTTTGTTTTTAACATAAATGAATGAATACTGATATTTGAAATTATTTCAAACATGAAAAAATAGTTGAAATGTGAAATTAAAACCGCCAGTAGGTGGCAGCAAGTGACTGTTAATGAGTGAGTCATTGAGATTCAACCGATTCGTTCAAACGACTGATTCATTCAGGAACAGAGCATTTGACTTGTGTTAATGAGCGAATCACTGAATCATTTATTCAACCGATTCATTCAAAAACCTGAACCAGTTGAGCTTCTGTTGAGTGGAGGTGGACAAAATTTGGGAAGATTTTTTTTTTGTTCGGTCATTTTAATACATTTGAAGGCGTGTAATTAAAAAAAGAGGAAAATTTGACTTAAATTAAATGCGTCTACCTTAATTCTACTGAAGCAGATGGTCTCTGTTGAATCCTCAGTCCAAGAGAAATGCATCTACAACATTTACAGTCATTTTACTAAAATTACGTTAGTTATGGGAATTATGTTCTAATATTTCAGCAACAGTTTAAAATTTGCAGTAAACTCAGCAGTTTGGTTAAAATTAATACTAAAACTTGAGTTTTAATAGTGAGGAATACTATTTGATTTTACAGTGTGTCTGTTCTGTTTCCAGTAAACACATATAAACACCCTAAAACATGTTTACTTTGTAAGTACAAATATACAACTGAAAAACATAGCAATTCTATTCAACGGGAATGAATGAGTTCTTAAGCGATTTAGCTCTAATACCAGTTTCTGTACATTCATCAAACGCATTGTTCTACTAATGTTTGTGCTGCTTCGTTCTCACCATAAATGGTCTTATATTAATGACTTCCATTTTTAAAAAATGTTTTTGTTTTGAATTTAATATCCTCTCCAGTATGTACCAAGCCAAATAAGAGAAAATACAGCCTTACTGCGTAACAGATGACCCTAAACGTCTTTCACCATTCATCCATTACTTCACCATTGCTTCTTCAGTTCTGTTCTCCATCGGACAGTCTGTTCTTCATCACTAGTGTCAAATAGTAATCTAATCGTTTAATTAAAACGTAAAATCACAGTAACAATCGTGTATTTGCTCTGATGTCATGCTTCTGTTTTACTTATTTATTAATCAAGCAAAACTCTGCGCAGATTACCAAAATTGTAGGTACACTGCTTAAGTTTATACAAAAAAAAACAGGTTTCCACCATAACAACACATTCTAGAGACACATATTTGTGTTTGGACGAGGCTCACGCGTCTCAGCAGACTATATCTGAGCGATATTATTGATATTCATTCTTCTGATGTCCTGTTATCCTGAAATATAAACTGATTTTACAGCTGGAGCGTGACACATTTACACACAATCAGTCCTAATATGCGTAGTGCCACAAGAACTGTATTTAGACGAGTTATTCCAAACAAAGAAAGGAAGGAAACTAACATTACAATCTACAAAAAAAGCTATATAGATATGCAGCGGTCGTATAAAAGCAGAGACATGTTTGTGTCACAGAGCAGACGAACACAAAAGAAACGAAAAACGGAAACCTCCGGCTCTTCTGGGAGGAGAAAATCTGCAGTCATTCGGTCTCTGTCATGCTTTCAATCAGGTCCTCGCTGGATAAATGGTGAGATCTGAGCATCAGAGTCGCCGGCGGGATATTGATGTTACTGTGGGTCATCATCATCATCATCACTACACAAGCGCGCGACTGAAGAGACTCCCGTATGGACACAAACACAGCAAGCATTCAGAGAGGAATTGTGAAGCCAGCTAACAGATCCGAGGGAACTTCATTCCACTGGTTTGATCCCGTCTGATTTCTGGTCCAGCCGGCTTTTACTGCTCTTCACCATATAAATAAAGTACGTGAGCGTCTCCTTCTCATTGACTGGAATATTGCGGAAGTGACGGCTCACGGTCTGCAGAAGAAGAAAGAGACAGACACCGAACTCATTACAAAACAGCTCAATGCTGTGTTCTGATTGGCTGACAGACATCACGAGAATCTTCAGAAATAACCAACGTTTGTCGTCAGTATCAACTAGGGCTGTCCAAATGGCTGAAAAACTACATTTGCATTTTGTACTTCAACATTATCAATATTCAAATTATATTTGAATTTAAAAGGCATGATTTCAGCTAGGGGGGGAAAAGCTTTTGGCTTCCCTCCTGAGGCCACAAGAGGGCGCATCGAGCAAAATATTACTAATGCACGTTTCTTCAAAGCAATAAAATAACACGACTATCTTTGAAAAAAGTGCATAATGTTTAAAATAATGTATATAAACTTTACATTAGGGATGCACCGAAAACAAAAATCTTGGCCGAAGCCGAACAAAATGAAATACTGAACACGGTTTTCCCCCATGTATAAAGTTTTTCAATGTTGCATAAGTTAAAAATACCCAAATTTAGCTTTTTACTATCTTGTCTTGCTTTTCAAAGAAAAAATCAATTACAAAACAACGATTTAGAAATATTTACTTAACATTTTTTAACATTCTAGCAGACGTTATACCAACAAAGCACAATTTAACTTAAAATTAATAAGTTAGTAAAATAATTTAGTTTGGTCATTTTTGCGAGCCCCTTCTTGAATCAGGCGTGTATTTTTTACTGTACAAATAAATGCAGCCTTGCTGAGCAGAAGAGAATTATTTTTCAACTTTAGAATATATTTTCAGATCCCACAGATATAAATCTATTACAGATTTGAACACTATGTGTGAATGTTATAATAAATGTATTAATTATTATTGTCTTTTTTATTTTATTTTACAGAACAACCGTAAAATTACAATAGTAAGATTTATGAATGTTGATGGAGCTTTTATTTTGGCGGAAACCTCCAGGAAGACCTTTTTAAAAGTACAATTTATTCGGTCTTTCTCTCATTCGGTGCATCCCTAACATATATAATTAATTAAGTTGCTTAAACAATTAGAAACAAAACAGCATCATGCATGCATGTATAGTTTAATACAAAGGACTGAAAACCAATCACAAAGAGTACTTTTTTCAAAGTCTCGAGATAGGTTTTTTAAAAGTTGAACTTAATTTTTCATGGCTTTCTAAACATGCAGCTCTCTTGTGCGAGACGCGAGTGCAAAGGTGATAGATGTCCCTCTAGAAAATGCGATAAATAAACTGCTTGGTTTCAGTTTTGATGTAAACATCTTCTCCACATTGATGTTCTCTTTTCCCGCAGTATTTTGAATGAACAGCGTAGCAGCGCTGCATCTAGTGGGTTCAGCTGAATAGGCTAAAAACAGCATTAAAATGCAATGATACCTACATCGTCATCGCATCTCGTGCGCCACTGATAAAGCTGCCTGACACACACCTAAAATTCGAATTCACCGTTTTTGCATTCGAATGTGGATTTTTATATTAAATTCGACGAATATTCGAAATTAGAATTTTTTTTTTATGTAACAAAATGTAAATTTTTGCGTTGTATGTAAGATCAAGCTCTTCAGAGAGACTCGTGAGAACAGGCTTTGATAGCAATATAAAAATCTATAATAAAATATAGTAATGAGTAAGTGTCGTATTAATGTAAAACCATGTTTAAAGGAAGGTGTTGAGATTAGTGAGCGGTGGCGAGGGTTTCTCAGTGCTACCTCTGCGAGCTGGGCTTTGTTGAGGCCAGGTCTGGTCTGGATCTTGTAGTGCCTCTTGTACCGTCTCAGTGTGTTGACCTGAAGCTGGAACAGATCCACCTAAAGCAGGACAAACACACAGATCCCGCTCAGATTCTGGTCCCCAGCAAGTGTTTGGTTTCCCACATTCGGTGTCCAACAGACTAAAGAAACTCATAGATGATTGGAACAACATGTGGGTGAGTAAATGATGACAGTTTTCATTTTCGGAGGAACCGTCCCTTTAAGAAGGTTTTTAGAGGAACCGTCCCTTTAAGAAGGTTTTCGGTGACTCCAGCTCCAGGTGTGGAGCAACATTCACCGCCTGGAAACACACAGCTCAGTTTAACCTTAATCAAGCCTAAATCAAGTCCGATGCCTCGGCATTCTGCCGCAGAGATTTCTCTAGCCTAGAACTCTAGTTTACAAGTTCATGCCGTTTCTTGCTGATGACAATCTGACGCTGTTCTTATGCGGATATAAAGGCGATCTGAGCTGTGCTGTAATTATATCACACTAAACACCTGCTGGAACATCACTTCTGTGTCTCATCATGATCACACATCTTCTCACAGATCTGCACGCATGCATGTGAAACACAACACCATAAACCTGCTATGTCTGGCTCAGTCTTTACCGTAGTAAACAGCTGGAGCAAACCCAGTCACAGCAGCACCAGGACAAATATAAAAGGACAAAGAGCATGAACATACAGATGAATCCTGGTTTACCTCTGGCACTTCAACATCGTGATCGGGTGATTCTCCTCCGTCGTCGCTGGTCTTCCTCTTGCGCTTGTTGCGAACGCTCTGGATGAAGTTCTTGTGGAAATCACAGATGTACAAATGCCGAACCTACAGGGAAAAAACGGTGCGTGTTAGAAAACGTAATTCTAGATTAAAGAACTTAGAACTGATAACTATATCAAGAAAGCACTATCTGATGTCTTCAGTGCGATTTATATGCCATAAAATGACATTTAGCAAACTAAAGGTAAGCACATTCTGGCCAAATGCAGCAGTGAAGCGTATGCTGGTGTGTGTGTGTGTGTGTGTGAGTGAGAGAGAGAGAGTGTGCGCGTGTGTGTGTGTGTGCGCGCGTGTGTGTGAGAGTGCGTGC